GGGCCAGACCCCGCCCCCACCTCCCTTTCAGAAGCCAGCCAGCCCCAGCCCCCCTCCTCCCGCCCGGCCTAACCTGGCTCTCCCAACCTGTCCCGGCGGCCAGGACCCCGCCCCTTCCCCCTCCCTGCAGCCTTTGCTGTCCTCTCTTCCCCCCATCCCCAGCCCCCCAGCTGCAAGAGGGAGGTATTCAGTTTTAGGCAACGGGTATACTTGGGGACCAAGAGTCCTCATGCCTCCTTGTGTTCCCCCCTCTCCCCCACCCAACGTACCCCTAAGGGTCACTCAGCCTGAGTTTGCGAAGGAGGCCTTAATCCAGCTTGAGGAGTGGGTGCTTTTGACTCTACTGTCATGGTCCTGTCAGTGGAGACCAAGGTGTTCTCTGAAAACATGGGGCTAAGAAAGGACCCACCATAGGGTCTTGACCTTTAAAGGGCTTTATTCCCCAACTCCTAGTGGCAAAACCAGAGGTAACTACCTCCCCACCTCCAGCTGCACCCTGACACTGAGAAGTCCTGCCTCGTCTTGGTTTCCACAGTGCCCAGGAATAGTTTTGACCTTTGACGCCCAGGGGAGATCCTAATTCTTGGCCCTGTGATCGTTTGGCTTCTGGGGAGGAGTGTGAGTCGATGGGGTGCTGCAAGGGTGGTGGAGGAGAGGGGAGGGAACCTCTGCAGTGTCTGACCCTCTGGCTTTCTCCCTGTGTCCGAGGGAAGACTGGCGCCTGCCAGGGACATGAGGCCCCTCCAGGTCCTTGAGGCCACCCCCCCTGGGATCCTCAGGCTTGTCACTAGGAATAAATAGCCTGGTCTGGATGCATGGGGGAGGGAGGGAGGAGGCTCTACTGTGCCGTTTGCAAAATAAGAGACGACAAACCAACTGTGGAATAACCTTAGCATCTAGAGTGAAGATTCAGGTGCCTACAGAGGCTTCCCCACACTCCAGGCTGGGTCCAGTCAAACTCTCCCAGGCTAGGGGTCCTGAGGATTCTTCCCTCCCATCTGTGCATCATATACCTGGGTTCCTGGATCCCAAGTCACCCTTGAGGCCATGTTTCCTTTTGAAATTAAATAAGTGCTTGTTTATTATTGTTGCTGCCTACATGGTAAGAACCATGAGGGCAGGGACTGGGTCCTTTTTGTTCATGCTTGCACTTATTCCAATGCCTGGTGCATAATAAATATCTGATGAATGAATGAATGATAGATACTGCTTCAATTTGGATGTCTCTCTCTCCCCCACCCACCAGAATTTGGACCACAGGCACCTGCTATCTGGAGTCTAGAGAGTGAGCAGCCAACCCATGGGTGGGCCCTTTCACTGGAATTTGTCTTGCAGGTGTAAGGGATTCCCAGCCCTGGAGAGTGAAGGGAAGACTACTTTGCCTGCTTGGAGCAGACAGCAAGAGGAGGTCTGCTCTGGGGTAAGGACAAGGCAAAGATAAGGAGCTTTCAGAAAGGAAGAGGTTATACGTGAGTAAGGAAAGTGCTGGACAAAGGGCAGAGTGTTTGGATCTCTGTTCTTTACTCATGGCTCAAATCTCTTCTGAATAACCCTAATGAGAGCCAGTACTTCCTGAGTTCTTACTTTGCACCAGTCCCTAAACATTTCACATGTGTCAACACATTTGATTATCCAACAACCTTATTAAATATATTTTTTTATCCCCATTTTAAAGATGAAAAAATGGAGGCACAGAGAGATTAGTAACCTGCCAAGGGTGACACAGCCAACAATGGCAAAGCTAGGATTCAAATCCAGACAGTCAAAAGTCAAAAGTTTTTTATGACAAAAATGAGTTTAACCATTAGGCTGCACAGCATCTGTAGTCATTTAACCTCTGTAAGCCTCATCTGTGAAGAATGGATGACTGTCTCAGAGCATTGCTGTGAGGACTGGACGAGAGCATGCAATAGGTTATCAGTATGTGGGGACACTCCCCTCCCTTTCATAGCCAAGTGTTAGGGTTCTGCTGTTTGGACTTGGACTCCAGGGGCCAGAGACAGTTAGCTCTCTGGCTTGTGCCAGCCTAGGGGTGAGCCCCACATAGGGAAGCTGTGTCCTTTCCCCTCTCCATTTCCAGCTCCCCAGTGGGCTCACATTTCTCTGCTTGCTCTATTTTGGCCCAGGAGGACATGTCCAGGGAAGTCCAGGATCAGCCACATGGACTCCCTGTTCCTGTTCCCCATCTGTCCTCCCCTCCCTGCCCCGGGAAACAGGTGTGTCTGAGCTAGGGCTGGAAGCAGAGCCTGAGTGTTGGATGACTTGCCTTGGGTGAGCGGGATCTAGTTGTCCCTCCACCACCCAGGAGGTCCCCACACAACCTTCCTTAACTTGTGCTCAGAGTCCTCCGTCTGTTCTCTCGCCTTGCAAGGATTTTTGAGAGGAGGCTCTGGGTGACTACTGACAGGCCTGTCATGGCTTCCTCTGGGTGCTGAATCACTCTCTGATGCCTGTAACCACAAGCCCTCCTTCCCCCTAGTGAGAACACGTCCTTCCTTCTCTGGGTGTATTGCTCACTCTTACCACTGGCTGCCTAGAGCCCTTGCAGGCCTCAAGGCTTAGCAGATACCCTCTTTCAAATTTTCCAGAAACTTTCCTGTGACTCTTAGCCTGACGATGGATTTTTGGGTGGAGAGGGTGACATGGGTGACTTTCACACAGCATGGGGAAAGTGGGGAGGGCAGAGGGAGAACTAACATGGTTAAATGCTGACTTTGTGCAGGGCACCATGTTAGGTGCTAGTCATTACCTCTTTCAGTTCTCCCAAACACCATACGAGGTGGTTATTATTATTATTAGCACCATTTTACATAAAAGGACATGAAACTCAGGGAGTTTGACAAAGTGGCCCCAAATCACAAGCCAATAAGTGGTAGATGTGCAGTTCAAATTCAGGGCTGACTCCAGGGTCCCCCCACCTCCAGTGTACAGAACTAGCTTCTAGGTGTGCTGGTCACTCGATGCCTTCTTCAGGGGTAGCGGCAGGAGTGGCCAGAGCTGCCACCTGGTCACCCTGCCTGATATCTGGGCTTTTTAATCAAAATGAAGCAGGAAAGGTTGGCATGAGAGGTCTTGTCTTTCAACGGTAAGTGACAAATGAGATGGCATTTTGTTAATGCATATTGTTAAGGCTCAAGCTCATACTTTTAAGTTCTTTCTTGCCTACTAATTAACTGGATGGGCACCTCTCTGGACTGAGGAGAGAATTTACTCAGAGCTCCTCAGCTGGAGGGTTGACCCCTGTCTTAAGAAATGGGTGCAATTACAGAACCCCTTTCACATGATGGAAAAGAAACCAAATGCCTCTAGAATGCTCTCCTATACCCAGTCCTCTCTCTAGACTTAGAGGCAGGTTTAGTAATAATCAAAATAACAATAATAGCTCCATTTTATTGTGAACTTCCTAAGAGGTGAACACAGCATTAAGTACTTTATTTATTTTTTTGAGACACTGTCTCACTCTGTCACCTGGGCTACAGTGCCATGGCATCAGCCTAGCTCATAGCAACCTCAAACTCTTGGGCTCAAGCCATCCTGCCTCAGCCTCCTGAGTACCTGGGACTACAGACACACACCACCATGCCTGGCTAATTTTTTCTATTTTTAGTAGAGATGGGGTCTTGCTCTTTGCTCAGGCTGGTCTTGAATTCCTGACCTCAAGCAATCCTCCCGCCTCTGCCTCCCAGAGTGCTAGGATTACATGTGTGAGCCACTGCACCCGGCCTAGAATTAAGCACCTTAAACATTATTTCATTTAATCCTCACAACATTTTTCTGGGTATAGTATTATTATTACCTCCAGATGGGGAGATGGAGGCTCAGTGAATCTAACTTTACCTTAGCTGGTAGCCAAGAGTTAGGATCAGAACACACCTTCACTGGTAATGGTCTTAATCATTTTGTTGTACCACCTCTGACACTCATATTGTCAGCCAGCCATTCCCTTAAGGATGTGAGGGAATCAGAGCTTTGTTAACTGCTGCCATTAGGTGATTTCCTTCTATGCTGCTTGCAGATATGACTCCTCAACTCGACTGTGAGCCCTTGACAGCCCTGTGAGGGAAGAAGTGAATCTTATTATTATCCTCATTTTATGGGTGAGAAAAATTATGCTCATTCAAGTCAAGAAACCTGCCAAAAGTCACACAGCCCATTAAGTATGTGGCAGAGTCAGATTTGGTTTCAAAGTCTCTTGTCTCTCTACAGAATGCTCTTTCTTGTACACTGTTGTAGGAGAGCAAAAAATAGAAGAAGGGTCAGATAATCGAAGCTCATATAGCAGCCTAAGCTACAGAAAATAATAGTGGTGTGGAGCTTCTTGGGGGTGGTGGCAACCTAAGTTATGGGAAGATATAGGGAGGAAATGTATGGTGAATAAAGGTTGTTCTATTATGCAGATAAAGTCTCTCAGATAGTAAAAGTTGTCAGCCCTCTTGCTGATACAGACATTTTACTAATAACGTAGATTTCCTTTATAGGAAATCTTTACATCCTTTACAGGGTGTAAATTTGTTTTACAAAAGGACACCATTTCAGAGCTTCTCCCATGTCTGCAGTTTCTCAGAATAACCAGCTGAAAATATGCCAAAGAAGTACCTTTTCGGGTGGTATAGTCTGGTCCCCTACAGTCATATTTTGGGGTGGTGTGTCCTGAGCCCCAACACTGTAAAATTCACAGGCTCCTAGCTTTGCACGTAAATACGGCAACCGGTGCCGAGGTCTAAGTGACTGCACATGCGCATACTCCAAGCCCAGCTCAGGAGGAGGGGGAAGCGCCAGCCACGTGTTCCCAGGTGCCCACGCAGGCCGAGCGCTAAGGCAAGATCGCAGTAGCGTGAACAGGCTCTGGCGAATAAGAACGGCGTCTTGTAGAGTCACGAGATTAGATCTAGGAAACTACACTTCCCAGAAGTAGCGTGCGATGGCCGCCTTTGTTAGAGGACGTATTTCCGGAAAGGCAGGCTCTGGATAGGCTGCGTAGAGGAAGTGGGCGGTCCTAAGCATCGGCGGTTTGGCCTGTTTCCGGCAGGATCAGGGGACACGGTGGTAGAGGCAGTGCCGACCGGCGTTGTCCAACGAGGTCTTCCAGGACCGAGCTGACATGGCGGCGGCTTTTCGGAAGGCGGCTAAGTCCCGGCAGCGGGAACACCGAGAGCGAAGCCAGGTAGGACCGCACAGGCCCCACGAGCGCTGGCCCTTGGCCCCATGTACTGCTTGCTCTCGTCACCCTAGGGCCTTGATGCCGGCTGTACGTAGACGCACGATGCAAATACATGCAAATATATGCTAATAACGCTGGCTCGGCCGCCGCGGAGCCTCGCGGGGACGCGGGTGGTGGGTTGTTGTTCCCTCTCTCGGAAGAGCGCGGGCCGCTCCCCATTCCTTGGGGATAATCAGACCTACTCTGGAAGATTTCAAGTGCAGTAGTTGAGTAAGATAATGTGTGTAATGTGCCTGGCTTTCTCTGAGGAAGTTGAGGTCATAGCTCACATAGCCAATAACTGCCACGCTGGAATTGGAACCCACATAATGCTCAGCTCTGCCCGCAGCAATATGGGGGCCCTGACCAAAGAGATTGGTGTTACTAATGTGGTATCATCATGCGTGGGCTTTGTGGTTCATGAAGATCTGCCACATATGCTTTTATTTATGCCTCACCCTGTATGTTGGTGTTTTCCCTCCCCATTATACAGTTGAGGAAACTGAGGTCCATAGAGTAACTTGCCCATTTTCAAACACCAAATCGAGGCAGAATATACAGTTGTAGGATTTCTGTGGAGGGTGCGTCTGTGTGGGGAGGTTGAGTAGAAATGAGCTTAAATGCAGAATTGAGTTTTCCACTTGACTGCTCTCAGGAATCACATAATATATGATTCAAAAAGGCCCTTAGAGATACCTGGTCCAGCTTCATCTAACAGATGGGGAAGAAATGGGAAAGGATGTGTCCAAAGTTGTGCAGCAAACTGATGGGATAGAACTAAGACCTCTTAACCACTGTCCAATTTTCCTGCTTAATAGCATTTAATAGACATTTATTGAGCATTTGTTGTGTGTTCAGTTGTGTACTAGGAGCAGTGTAATTTGCCACCTTGTTTGGCAGTCTATGTGTGGACCTATCCAAAGTTAATAATAGGTAGAATTCTTCCTATGTGCTAGAACCAAAGTGCAAAATGATTTACTCTTATTATCATTTAACTCACAACAACAGCTGTGTGGAAGTAGGTACTGTTATTTCCTTAGCTTTACAGATGAGGAAACAAAGGCTCAGATAAGTTAAGTACTTTGCCCATAGACATACAGCTATAGCTGACAGGCAGCAAAGCCAGGAATCACACCAGCTGCTTTGAATCCAGAGGCTACCAGAAAATGAATAAAGAGGCAACTTTGTAAGAGACGGCAAATAAAAAATGCCAAATGAGGGTTATGAGTGGCAAGAGTTGAGATGATGAGAAAGCATCATGGTGAAACTTGTTGAACTTGAAAGGCAATTTGCCTTCAGAGGCAAAACTGTCACTTTTTGAGTACTTACTGTATGCTAGGCACAACCCTACATGCTTTACAGTTGTCTCATATAATCCTACAACATCCCCATGACATGGATGTTATCCTCATTTTACAAATAAGGAATCTGATGCTTAAAGAGATTGAATAGTGTATCCAAAGTCACGGATGTATTGGGATTAGCAGAGAGAGGGCTTTCAAGGGTGGCTGTGGACATGGCAAAAGCTGAGTAGGAATAGAAGGTCTTGGTGGGAGAGGTGAAGAGAAGGCCATGCAGGAAAGGTGGGGTTTTATGTGTCAATGTTCATTGACATGAACATTCCCTGTTTGGGTAGTTTGGACTTTATCTTTTAGGTCCTTCAGTGAAACAGTAGGGGGGCTACTGAAGATATTTTGTATGTAGGGGGTATGTGTTATTATGTAAACTATTTCAGATGGAATACCAGGTTTCCTTCTGTAATGCAGATGTACATTCAAGCAGGCGGGACAGATTTCAAGATTTCTGCCTCACCTCATGTTATTGCTCTTTTGACTCTTGAGTTTTTTATCTCCACTCTGTCAAACTCCCTTTATCTCCTGTAATTAAAATAAAAATTATCAGAGGTTTTGGGTGTTATTTTAAACACTGAGTTATTGTATCATTTGAAGGATAAAAAATGAGAAAGATGGCCGGGCGCGGTGGCTCACGCCTGTAATCCTAGCACTCTGGGAGGCAGAGGCGGATGGATTGTTTGAGCTCAGGAGTTCGAAACCAACCTGAGCAAGGGCGAGACCCTGTCTCTACTAAAAATAGAAAGAAATTAATCGGACAACTAAAAAGATATAGAAAAAATTAGCCGGGCATGGTGGCGCATGCCTGTAGTCCCAGCTACTCGGGAGGCTGAGGCAGAAGGATTGCTTGAGCCCAGGAGTTTGAGGTTGCTGTGAGCTAGGCTGACGCCACGGCACTCTAGCTAGCCTGGGCAACACAGTGAGACTCTGTCTAAAACAAAAAAAAATGAGAAAGATGATTGTTAGAAATCCTCCCCAAATAATTACATTAATAAAAGTTTAAACAGTAAAGAGGTGTATATATTTTCTCAAAAGTCAAGATTATTCAGAGCAGAATAATCTCAGTCTGTTGGTTGTGGAAGAGCTCACACTGTGGCCCCAGATAGAATGCATTCTAGTTTTAGCTTTGCCACTTACTAGTTCTGCATTCTTGGGCATATTATTCTCTAAACCTCATTCCCCCTCTGAAAAATTGAGTAACAATAGTGCCTGTTTTACCTACTTCCCGTGATTGTTGTGGGCATTAAATGAGACTGTGTACCAAGCATAGCATGTTGCTTTGTAACTTCATAAATGGGACCTATTACGATGATGCAGGCAAAGAATCTAGCACAGACCCTCACATATACTAAATGCTCAACAAAGGGTACCCTGTAGAAAGATCATACCAAGATTTAATCCTTGTACCTCCATGCTATCCAAATCCATGTCAGAGAAAGTACTTTCTTTCATACTTTGTTTTCTCTCATACCTGGTACCACAGGTCCAATGGTAACAATAAATTTATGCTGGGCACCGATGTATGTCAAGCCATGTGTGGGCACTACCACTTACAGAGACTTATTGAATCCTTACAAGAACCCTGAGAAGTAGATGCTATTATTCTCATTTTACTGTTAGGAAATAGCAGCTCAGAGAAGTTAAGTGACTTGCCCAAGGTCACAGATTGTTAAGAGGTAAAGCTTTGGATTTGAACCTACGTCTCTAGACTCTAAATTTAGCTCCCTTACCACAGTTGCCTCCCTGTTACTATGTTTTCCCTTTGTAGTATTTTATAAACCCTTGGATTAAGTTGGTAGTAATTTTAGTACAACTGGCAACTGCTTGATTACTGCCGAGTCATTGTTGCCTCTCTCTGTCCTTAATAGGCCAAGAAATCTACTACAGCAGTGCTTGTGACCTCTCTGGTGCTGGCATGGTCCCTCTCATCCTTGGGCAGAGCCCAGTTGTGGGGAGGGAAGGGAACAGGGTAGTGGGTTGGCTCCAAGGACATGGATTTACTGAACACTCCAGAGACTCTCGTTCCCATTAGGTGTCATGTTGATTTGGGTATGTGTTTGCTGAGGAAACTAAGCACTATTTTTTTCTTTTGTCTTCTAGCCCGGCTTTCGAAAACGTCTGGGCCTGCTGGAGAAAAAGAAAGATTACAAACTTCGTGCAGAGTGAGTTCAGTCTTTCTGGTAGAAGTACTGCCAAGAAGGCTTACGGCCTCCCTGCACTGAGCTGAATTGCCTGAGCATCCAACAGGGAATAATTTCCTGCCATTGATAAAATGGCCAAACCTCTGGCATCATGTCACATAATTTTCTGTGACCCTAAACTTCTCTCTTTGTTCAGGCAGATCTTTATTTATTTAACTGTAGTTGCATTGTGAATTTTTTTATTATGTTGTCCCAGATCATTTTGTCATAATGGCTTTGATTTGCCTCTGCCTTGGTGTTTGAACAAAAAGCTGAATCTTTTTTCTCTCTGTTTTCTTGAAGTGCAAGATATAATCTAAAATTCCATTTGTTGAGTCTCTTACATCACCATGTGTGTGGTTTGGAATGAAGAGATGTGAAAGATGGATTCATGAGACTGAGCGTGGGTGATGATGAACTCTGAATACATTTTATAAAACAATTATCCCCATTCTTCTCCACTAGAACTTTATTTGCAAAATACTTGATAATTATTTGTTAGCCATACATATCATGTGAGGTCCTTCTTATGCTCCTGGTACAGGTGGTGGTGATGGATTAAGTGGTTTTCTGTAGGTCCCAGAGTTTTTAAGGTTAATAATAATTAGACGCTGTTGTTGGTCCAGGCAATGTTCTAGGAGATTTATACATTTTACACTCATTTATTCCAGCAACCTTCTGGGATAGGTTACTATTACTATACCCATTTTACAGATGAATTTGGGATACAAAGTGGTTAACTAACTTATCCAGGGTTACTTAGCCAGAAGTGGTGGAGTCCAGATTTGAGCCCAGATTTGGTTCCAGAGTCCACAATTGTAGTCATTATGCTATATTCTACGTGTAGTTTTCGAATCGTATTTGGTCATTCGGTGCCCAAGCTTGCATAGAACCTTATCTGAGGAGTTTTAATTTGTGTTTTGTTTGTTGTCTCCCTGTAATGATATAAATGGTACTAAAACATACGTAGGATGAGGACAGTTATTAACTGTCAGGTTCCATTGGGATAGGAGAGGACTGCTAGATAGTGCACCCTATGGAGACATGAGCTCGGCTCAGTGACATTGAGTGGTGGGGGTCAGATCCAGTCACTGTGTTGGCTCTTTTGAGTTTCGCTTTGTAAAGTTTTCTCATTGTGGGGTGGTTATTTTTGTTTTTTGTTTGTTTTTGCTATGAACCTCCTTTAACCTGCTTTCTAGTGACTACCACAAGAAACAAGAATACCTCAGAGCTCTCCGGAAGAAGGCTCTTGAAAAAAATCCAGATGAATTCTACTATAAAATGACTCGGGTCAAGCTCCAGGTGGGTATCTAATGGATGGGTTGGTGTTTTGAGCTCCAACTGCTGGAAAATAATGATGGGGAAGGCGATGGAGAGGAAGCGTCCTTGGCCTTAATTTAGCCCTCCTCTGGTTACTCCAGATGCTTTCGGTCAGTATCGAAGGCACACCTGCCCCTGTGTGAGGAATGTGCATTTCTGCCTTTGAATCCGAGCTGTCTTGCGTGTGGAGCTTTTCTAGGAGTGGATGTGCCACACCGTATGTGCCCCTCATGCCTTGAATTGCTGTTAGCATATGGCGTTTGGTTGTCTTTATTCTAAGCATGAACTATGCCAACAACTTATTAATGAACAACTTATTAATCTAATGGGGAATATATCTTTTCAATTTGGATTTTAGGATGGAGTTCATGTTATTAAGGAGACAAAGGAAGAAGTAACTCCAGAACAGCTAAAGCTGATGAGAACTCAGGATGTCAAATATATAGAAATGAAAAGGGTTGCAGAAGCTAAGGTAACAATTAACTCTTTGTTCTGATGTACTTCTATTGGTTAAGAAAGGAAACTTAAATCCATCAATCTCAAGTTATCAGTTGATTTCTTCTGGCATTTACAATCTTGCTTGATTGTGATATGATCAAAGTACAGTCAGCATGGTGGAGTGGCGAGAATTCAAGTTTGGGAATGAGACAGGCATAGGTTTGAATTCTGGCACTACCACTGACTAGCCCTATGACTGTGGATAAATTAATCTTCCTGAGGCTGTTTCCTCATTTCTGTCTCAGGATTGTTGGAAGGATTGAGTTTGGAGGGACACCTCACCAAGTACCTGACATGTAGTTGATGCTTGATGAATTTTAGTGGTGCTTTCCTTTAAAATAATTAAGGAAATTCTTACTGTCTGGCAAACATGTGAAATGGTTTAAACTTTTTAGAAATTTATTTTCGATACCCTAGAAAAACCCAATATAAAGGAGACCATATTCTGTGTTCTAGAAAATTGAAAGACTAAAATCAGAGCTCCATCTGCTGGACTTCCAGGGGAAACAACAGAAAAAGCATGTGTTCTTTTTTGACACCAAAAAGGAAGGTATGTGAAATGTTTGAAGGTTTCTGGGACAGTCTACCATGTGAGTCTGTGTTGTTTGATGTTAGAAACAGGCAGTTCTTTAAGGATTATCTTGAATTTTAGTTGAACAGTTTGATATCGCAACTCACCTGCATACAGTGCCGGAACTAGTCGACAGAGTCTTCAATAGACCCAGGTTAGAGACATTGCAGAAGGAAAGAGTGAAAGGAATTACCCATCAGACTCCACTTAAGGTAATTTTCTCTGTTGTTGTTTACATGTGAATTTAGGGGAATGTAGATTCCTTTTTTTTGCCCGTGCATTTAATATAATTATTTATGGAAAACTCATCAAGGTCTCTGAGAAAAGTGGAAGGAAGATTTGATGATGGGGATGGAAGTGGAGGAGGATTCCTTGGTTTTTAAGATTGGAGGACGTGTGGTATAGTGGTTAGGAGCTGAGGTTCTGGCTTCTAGATCTGGTTCGATTCCCTGCTCTGACCCTGAGCTTTGTGCTTTTAATGCTTGTAATGGATACCAGTGTTTTTAAAATGTAGAGAAAAGAGGGGACACTGAAGATTAAGGGATTTGGTATACTGTGGTATTGAATCTTCAGCAGTGAACACATATGTCAGAGGGTCTCTCATATTAGGCATTTGTAACCAAAATTTTGCATTGACTTTTCCTTATCATGCTTTCCATCACTGTCACTGGGTTGTGCGGAAGACATGCTTTTCCTCAAAGCCGTCTGGAGTTGAACTCTCACTTCTGACTAATTCATTTAAAAAAAAAAATGCTGTCAATGTGTTTCAAGCAGACAGCTGTTCTGTTTTGATTTGAATCATTTACACCGCATCAGTTTTGCTTCCAATGTTTAATTTCACAGCAGTTTTCTCTAGCTCAGAGGCAGCTAAACTTGCTTTAGTAATATAAATACCCCTAATTAGTTTGACTATATTGGGTAATCCCATAAATTTGACAGTCTGTACGATAAAGTGAAAACAAAAGCTGTCTGAAACCACTGCTGTGAGAGTATGCTAGAATCGGTGAATTGTTGAAGTCTGAGGTCCAGTAATATTCCCCTCTACGTAGATCACACTTCCAGCTGCGGAGCCAGCTCACTGGTGTTCTTGTGATCACTCTGTTTGTCAATTAGTAGTATTTTCAATGAGCTGTGTCACTGACTTTGCTCAAGTATTGTGGTAGTCCCTAAGGAGATTAGTAGTCCAAACTCCTGAGTAGAGTAGTTCACCAGCATAGCTTTTTTTTTTTTTTTTTGAGACAGAGTCTCACTCTGTTGCCTGGAGTAGAGTGCCGTGGCATCAGCCTAGCTCACAGCAACCTCAGACTCCTGGGCTCGAGCAATCCTACTGCCTCAGCCTCCCGAGTAACTGGGACTACAGACATGCGCCACCATGCCCGGCTAATTTTTTCTATATAGATTTTTAGTTGTCCCAATAATTTCTTTCTATTTTTAGTAGAGACGAGGTCTCGCTCTTGCTCAGGCTGGTCTTGAACTCCTGACCTTGAGCGATCCACCCGCCTTGGCCTCCCAGAGTGCTAGGATTACAGGCGTGAGCCACCGCGCCCGGCCCACCAGCATAGCTTTTGAAAGAAGGCTTGAATCTTGCCATTTTTGTCTAGCAGTGTTGTTTCTTTTGGTTTTGTTCAAAGCAAAATTATTTTTTTCAAGATACTACTCTTGGCTGGATGCAGTGGCTCACACCGGTAAACGCAGCATTTTGTGAGGCCGAAGAAGAAGGATTGTTTGAGTCCAGGAGTTCAAGGCTGCAGTGAGCTAAGATCACACCACTGCACTTCAGTCTGAGCAATAATAGAGCAAGACCCTGTCTCTTAAAAAACAAAACAAAACGAAACAAAAAAGAGGCTACCCTTGGGTGGATTGCAAGGGAATTTAGTCTATAACTTGGAAGGGGCGGGTGGGCTTTAGGAGGTCTGTGAACACCCCTCTCCCACATTGAAATTTTGTGCAAATAGGTATATATTTTGGCGCAAATTTGTATTAAATACAAACATGTATGTACATTTATTTCAAGAAAGAACCCAAAGCTTTCCTCAGTTTCTCAGGGATTTATTATGATTCTCCAAAACTTAAGGACTCCACTGGTCTTTGAGGCACCAGTTAGCAGTGAGAATTCTCAAGTCAGCTTCTGCTGAAAAAAATCCTGCTCTCTGAGCACTAAGATTCTCAGGCACCAGCACACTGCCTGGGGACTCTTCCGTTGCTCTCTCTTCCCTTTGTGTAGGGTTTCTAATACTGGTTCATTGCTGCCATCATCTCAGGTGACTGGGGCACTCACACAAAGGTTGAAGCAGCTTAGTGTAGTAGTGCAAAGATTCCTGGGATCCCTGAGACACGGGGATAGTCTTGACTCTGTTCCAGGTGAACCATGTGTCCTTGGGCCAGTTGTTTCTCTTCTCTGAGCCTCATTTTTCTGCATTTGTAAAATGACAGGTTTCGATAAGATAGTCTCCAAGGTTCCTTTCAGCTCTAGAATGCAGTGTTCCTAAAATGGGCAATTTTATAGTAATCATGTTATATTTTTTCTGGAGAAGGGAAGGAGTTAATGAAACCATTTATGCGTTTAGGCTTAAGTGATTTAAGAAATAGTTCCTTATTCATTACTGTCCTGTTAATTATTTTGCTGTGTTTCTTTTGCAGCGGATAGCTAAAGAAAGGCAAAAGCAATATAACTGCCTGACACAGCGGATTGAGCGAGAGAAGAAATTGTTCGTTATTGCACAGAAAATTCAAACACGCAAAGATCTTCTGGTGAGGAGAGAGAGCCTTAGGCCTTTTTTTTTTTCTTTCCTTTCTTGTAAAGGTCTTAACTGAGACTGGATTTCAGCTGTGTGTAAATCAACCCCAGTGAAAATGTCTGCTCCTCAGGGGCAGTGGTTTGAGCCAGTGTCTGTTACTCTGACAGTGTTGAAATGTTCCTTGATTAAGAAGGTAATAAGGGGGTTATTAGTCAGTGCTTTGGAACAGCAAAGGGTAGGATCGGGTAGCATATGAACTTTATAGCTTATGAGCAGCTCCCGTAACATTTAAACAGGTTAACAAAACAGTGCATGTCACTCATTGGTGTTTAAAAATAGACAACATTGTGTAGTTAAATAGCAGAGCTAAGGAATATAAGATGCCTCTTTCATATTATTATCATTCCTCTAAATGTCAAATTCTTTAGCTTTGCAGATCATTTAGGTCAGCCTTTCTCAACTGGGGTTCCGTGAGAGAATTAAAGTTATATAATTTTAAATAAAACAGCTATTTGAGCACCTTTCTTCTCAGTTTTCCCAAGAATTATACACAACTAGTACCATTCTAGATGCCTAGGGGAGAAGTTAATTCATTGCATACTGTGGATGCCTAGGGCAATAGGGCTGTGTTTCTTTTGAACTTTGAGAAGGGCTGAGTTGGGGGCTTTTTAATAGGTAGTGTATTAACCTTCCTGTTTTACAAAACCATCTTGTACTGTTTACTGATCACCTTTTTACTCTTTCATAGGATAAAGCTCAGAAGGTGAAGGTGAAGAAAGAAACAGTGAACTCCCCAGCCATTTACAAATTTCAGAGTCGTCGAAAACGTTGACATGTTATAGATAAGCCTTGTCTTTCTGCATTGAAGATAATTCTTTTTTTTCCTAGTAATTTCAAATCCCATTAGTCCAAATGACATGATTTTCCTGTTTGTAACCATAATTTTTTGTCAATCTAACATTCCATGTCTTTCTATGAACAACATTATATCCCCTTCCCCTCTGTTACTTACTGTTTTTGGTTTGTGAAATCAGTCTTATTTTTATATACATAATTTTTTTTATTATGAAAGTTATAGAATCTCATTATACCAAATTTGGAAAATAGATTAATTCATTCCTAATCCCAATGCTTATTCAAGAACAACAAATATTTATTGCATACTTAACTGTGCTAGGAGCTAGAGCTATGGAGGTGAACAATTACTGTGAGCATTCTGGTTTATTTCCTCCGTTTTGTAAAGCTATGCATCAGTTTTTGTTTATGTTTTTGTGTTTTATAGTTGTAATTATAGTAAACAATTTTATGTCCCACTTCTTAATGAAATCATTAGCTCTTTTCCATTTTGTTAAATCACAATTTTTTTAAAGTAATATATGCTCACAGTAAAAATTAAAATAAATATTATTTTTAAGACTGTATAATGTTTTATCCAGTGGATAGACTGATTTTACCCTCATTCATTCTTTTATTGGCTATTCAAGTGGCTTCGTAAGTTACCCAAGGAGGAATTTTTTTCTCTTATACTTTACGGCTACAAATAGAAACTCTTGCAACTAGAAACTCACAGGGGCACCTCTTCTTTATTGATGAAGCTCAAATGAGAATAGACCTGGCTCAGTTCCTGTCTGCACTCCATGCCAGTTCATGATTCCAAGGCTATAAATGGCTTGGTGCAGTCCTTCACCCTGGGAGTACAGACCCCAGGGTATGTGGGGCAGCTTCCTTTTCTTCCCGGAGTCTCTCCCTTCCCTTCCCTACCCATTTGGGATCACAGGCTGAGGCCAGTCAGGACAGGACTGAGCGTGCTTAGAACAAATGTGGGAGAATAGGGAGCAGGGTTCTGGGGCGCTTTCTGTGCGTGGATTTTAAAGATGTTTTTAAAAAAATTGGGCCGGGCGCGATGGCTCATGCCTGTAATCCTAGCACTCTGGGAGGCCGAGGCGGGCGGGCCGTTTGAGCTCAGGAGTTCGAAACCAGCCTGAGCAAGAGCGAGACCCCGTCTCTACTAAAAATAGAAAGAAATTAATCGGACAACTAAAAATATATAGAAAAAATTAGCCGGGCATGGTGGCGCATGCTGTAGTCCCAGCTACTCGGGAGGCTGAGGCAGAAGGATTGCTTGAGCCCAGGAGTTTGAGGTTGCTGTGAGCTAGGATGATGCCACGGCACTCTAGCCTGGGCAACAAAAAAAAAAAAAAAAAAAATTGTTGTCAATACATAATAAGTACCCATGACTGTTAGGTTCCTGCACAAGCCTAGAATGGAAGTCTGTTTCTTCAGGGTATACCCAGTGAGATTCAGATCTGGGAGCCCTGGAAAACAGGAAGAAGAGCCAGGGGAACAGAAGCTAGTAGCTTTTGCCTGCAGGAAGGAACTGCTTCCCAGTCTGTGTGTGCGCACTCCCTTCTGGGGAGGTGGTGAGCTCAGTCAATGCTGATAGTCTTAGGAGACTTGAGTCTCAAGCCAGGAAAGGGACTCATCACAGTGTGGTTGAACAGAGGTGTGAGCAGACTAAGCAGTGATCTGCTCTTGGGATCAGAGAGCTGGGTCGCTGCTCTGACTGTCTCATGCCCCTGCTGGGTAGGAAAGTAGGGGAAGATAGGGAGTGTACCTAAATGCCTTCTCATGAAGCATACACCCACACAAAGGTGCAGACACTTCACAGGCTCTCATGTTAACAGATGCACAAGGCACGTATAACTCAGGCCTCATAAACAGGTACAGGCATACCTACACACCTTTTAGTACACGGGCATAAGCAGTGACACTTGAAGAGGCATGTGCATGTGCCAAATGGAGCAGAAAAGTCCATCCTCTTGGAGTCCCATAAATTCCAGGCTGGAGGTAATAATAGAGTTAGAAGGGGATGAGGCTAGGTGTTCTGAATTGCTGTTGGACTGTGGGCTGTCTCTGAGGCCCAAGGATTCTAAGGGAGGAGATGGCTGCCCCTGTGATTAACCAAAGACAGGCTCTAGCCTTGTGGGTTCTGAGAAGAGGTCAGGCTTTGAAGCTTTGGTGTTCAGTGGGACCCTGGACTCCTGGCTCCTTGGGAAGAGGAGAGAGTACTGTTTCCTTAGCATCTACCCCTCTTGGCCCAGTGGGTGGTTTGGCATGGTGATAGCATCCTGCTCTAGCTGTGTCAAGGGGGGCTGTGGGAGCCTGTGGAGGTGGGGAGCTTTTCTGTGAGTCAGGACGTTTGTTTGGCTCAGGTCTCATATAAACGGAATCTCTAAAGCAGCAGTTACATGAATGACGTGGAACCGTCAGGTCTGTCCAACAGAGAATCAGTGAGCCTGGCTCAGTCTTAGTCTTTTGACACATCCTTGAGCCCCTCTAACCAAAGCAGGAGTATTGAGCCCTACCTTTATTCTTGAATGAAATAATTGTTTTCTGACTTTCTATATTTAGGAGGAACTGATTCCTGGTGTCAGGGTGCAAACAGGCCCAGCAGGTGGAGCTGCTGCCCCTTTGCTGGGATGAGCTCAGGGAGCTGGTGTCCACCCACATAGTACACTTGGCTTCTGTCAGAAGCCTCCTGTAGGTGCTTGGCATGTATTTGTTCATTGAGTTTAATGCCAGGGGGAGAGCGTTCATGGAAAAAATGAGATTTTTCTCCCGCTGAGCTTGAGATTGGGGTGTCCCTAAGAGGAAGACTGGGCAAGAAAGGGCTTTCGCTTCCCATTTCTGGGAAAGGCCTTGAAGGGAGGTTTCTGTCATAGAGCCCCAGGTTTCCCAGAGGGTGGTTCCACCAAGACTTGGGAGGGGTGCAGTTTTGAGCATTCGTTGATAGCTTGCTGCCTCCCCTCGTGCTGCTGGCTGTGGGACACTGAACAATTGGAGCTGCACGTCCTCCAGCAGGGAAGGCAGCCAACAGACGCAGGCTCGCTGTGCCTACCTGTGGGGGCCGGCGAGGCCAGGGCCTGTCGGGACTTGAGACAGTGAGGTAAGTGGGTGTGTGGTGCTGGGCTCGTTTCCTCCTCGAGCTCTCCCAGCCTGCCAGTTCCTGGAGCCTAGCGCACAGGGTGTTGGGGAAGAGTGGGCTGAACCTTGGATGGGAGTCCTGCCCACAGCCCCAGGTGAGTGGAGGAATTGGGGGCGGACCTGAAATACTACCTGGAGGCTGAGCTGGCAGGTTTTGTTGGGCTTGTGCAGCTACCTCCTGGGGTCAGAGGGTGCGCCCTCTCTAGCCAGCCAGGTCTCCATAGGTCTGTCTAGTGGAAAGTGCAGAGAAGGATCAGAGAGAAGCTATGAGACAAATGGAAGCAGAGCTTCCTTTGCTGAGTCCACTGCTTGGAGTTTAGGAGTCTAGAGGAGGTGCCCAGTTCATGCTTCTGCTTGCTCTTTGCTAAACTGATCAGGTCAGAGGACAAATCCTGCCGTTTCAGACTCCTTATAAAGAATCTCCCTGTTGCCTGTTCTTGGATCCATCATCCTCACATTTGGAAAGTCATGTCTAGTCTGTACTGCTAACTGAAGCATACACTCACCTCTCCCTGTCCATCTTGTCTGCTTCACCGATGGCCCCAGTAATGGCCATGGCCATTTCCTCTCCCATGTGAGGGGTGCAAAGTGCTTCGGGCGGTTTTACAGTTTGGAGCCTTCCACTCCTACAGGGTGGTAGGAGAGGCTGGTCCAGAGCAGAGCCAAGGACCTGGCTATTTCTAGGTGACAGGAATTTATCCTGGGGACTGCTGTATTTGAGGGTAAGCAGAGGGTGGGAAGGAAGCCCTTTCCTCTTCCCCTGTTGTCTATCACCAGAAGGCCATGCTCAGATCATAAGTGTTAATGTTTAATGAAATCGTGGTGCCCGGAGGCAGCTGGGCAGCACCCCCCCCCGGCCCCGATTCAGCCTGACTCATTTACAGCTTTCTCCCAGTTACCCCAAAGGCTTCTCTCGGAGGTGACAAATGTAGGGGGTTGGTTTCGGTTTTCATGTTTTCACATTACTGGGTGGAAAAAAAACGCAAACCTTTCCAAACCAAAAAACCAGCTTCTACAGCAGAAACAACTTGTCCCGAGAGCACTGAAAATTTCCCCATCGTCTCTCCTCATTTGCTGAGAGACACTGAGACCGTAGCGGAGGGGTTAAGAGGAGGTGGTTGGAGCCAGGCTGAGTAGAACGTTAGGGACAGCCCCTTCCGAGGTGGCAGCACCTGCCTTCCTGCTTAAACCTTTGCAGGACCCTGTAGCTCTGGAGCCTGTGGTCACTGGATGGCTTGCCAGGGCAGGGGTTAGTCTGCTCAGGGTGGGGAGGGACCGTCTCCTCCATCCCTAGCTAATTTGATCCCAGGAGGTCTGAGACCAGTGTCCCTTCCTCAGGGCTCTTAAGGTAGAGTGGTAGGTGGGAAGATACAGGGTCCATCTGGCACATGGAAACTTGGGGGGTAGCATTATAAACCACCCCACCCCCTGCCAGGGGCAGATGGCCTCCATGGCAGATGGAGACTAGGCCGGCAGTGGCTGGATGGGTTTTCTAGTCTCAGCTTGGCCTCTCTGGCTAATAAGACAGAGGGGCAGTGACAGGGCTAACTGCGAGAGAGAGAGTGTGTGTGTGTGTGTGTGTGTGTGTGTGTGTGTGTGTGTGTGTGTGTTTGTGTATGTGTACGTGTAGGAGAGAGAGGGAGTCCTGGCCTTTTGGGGCCATTCTGGGGGAGAAGTAGAGACCCTGGGTGGAGTCAGTGGATCTTGGAGGGGACACAAGATGGCCACATATAGGGGTGGCAGGTGCTCAGGGCCCTGACACCGCCCACCTGTCCAGGCTCTGGAACCTGCCCTGGTTAGTTCTCACGGGAAGGGGATGGTTCCTGGGGTGGGAGCCTCTGCTGCAGCTGGAGCCTGGTCTGCTTGATGCAGAACCCCCTGCCAGGTCCCCGGAGCTCAAGGCCTGGGCAGCAGCTCCTCCCAGAGGACGCGCCCGTTTATTATGCGCTCCTGCTCCCTCACGGCTCAGGCAGGCAGCGGCCTTCATTAGCGGAGGAGCTGGGGTCTGTTTTGGCTGCCTC